GACCGCAATTAGAAAATTTAACTTCATTTTTTAATTAAATTAATTTTCTATAACTTTTGGATGTTGATCGCACGGGGATTTGTAACCGAGCCTTCCAAATGGCAGTACGTAATGCTAACCACTCGGCTACCTCGGCCGCGAATTGTTTATATACACAGTCCAATGATTGCAACTTGCGCAAGTTCAGTCCTACTTGTACGAATTACGGGAAACTTTTCCATTATGGTTCCAGGCTTTGGGAAAAACGAATTGTAAGGGGTGGTAAGGGGTTCTACCCTCTCTCAGAAACCGAAAACCAAACCTACCGGAGACCTTTAGTTTTCGAGATATTTACATTTAAAATAGCAAAAAAATCGAATTTTTACCCTATTATTTTGTACAAAGTGTCATTACTCTGAATTTTGGTGTTGCCACATATAAAAAAGAAAATCTAAAATAAAACAACTATAGTAAATATTTTATACTTTATATGTATATTTGACCGCTTCTATAATTTTTAAGAACGGGTCTTCCCTGTTTATTTTTAGGCGAAACTCCTTTGTAAGTTAGCGACCTTCGGCCGCGCTTTTGATTGTAACCCTTAGCCGGACCAACACCGGCTTCGCCTTGCACAGTATTTTTAGGCAAAACTCCTTTGCAAGTTAGCGGCCTTCGGCCGCGCTTTTGATTGTAACCCTTAGCCGGACCAACACCGGCTTCGCCTTGCATAATATTTTATGTCATTGCTTTCATGAAGTATAAAAAAAATTTTTAATTTATAATTGCTTAAATACAACCCTGTACAGTATTGTATTGTTGCGAAAATGCGAGGCGAATGTCAGATGAAAGAGAGAAGCCGATAACCAGTACATTCTAGAAGCGATAAAACAAGAACCTTCGATTGCGAACAAATGGATGCTTCTACGCTTTCGTCTGCGAACAGCCGACTGCTATATAAGAGCGGCACTCAGCTGTAAGAAGTTAGTTACAAAGTGAACTGGTTGGCGTTAACATCAGTGAAGTCGTAAAGTAAACGCTTTGGAGATTACATTTAAGTAAAGTAAATTNATGAGAGCCAGCATCTCACAAAAGATGGAGGCACAAGAAGCCAGCATTTCACAAAAGTTGGATACACAGGATGCCAGCATGTCACAAAAGATGGATGCACAAATGCTTGAACAGAGAGAGCAGATATCATCCTTGGAAGGAACAGTTGAAAGAGAGAAGCCGATAACTAGTACATTCTAGAAACGATAAAACAAGAACCTTCCATAGCGAACAATTCGATGCTTCTACGCTTTCGTCTGCGAGCAGCAGACTGCTATATAAAGGCGACACTCAGCTGCAAGTCAAGTTAGTTACAAATTGAGCTCGTTGGCGTTAACATCCGTTAAGTCGTAAAGTGAACGCGTTGGGAATTACATTTAAGTAGAGTACATTGTGAAAGTTGATGCAAGTGATTGTAGCTAGTAAAGTGTCTTGTAATTGAATTGTGAATCACTGAGTAAATAAAGGACATTAGATAAAATCTTTATTACGAAAGAAACTGCAAATTCAGTTGGCGAGTTTTATTTAACAATCCAGAGATCGTACCAAAAGGATTTAGAAAATAATCGAGGTTGATTTAGTAAGATCGTAACAATATACATTACCAATATTTCGTACATTTATAGATATTCGTCGAACACATAGAACCACCAAGGAGCAAATGAAATGCTACCTTGGATTTTTATAAAGTCATCACGAGATGACCTTAAGACGACCTGGTTTTCGGGATGGAGTAAATTGCTCGATGTGCCCAACGAATCCGCAGAGAAATGAGACCGACAATCTCTTAAATACATACTTATGATGAAAGTATTGTGGGCTTCAACTGCCGTGAATAAATACTTATGTACCCAATTAGAGTTAAACGATGTGCTGAAAGCACTTGAATTTTAATAAAAATGTAAATCATGGACAATGAATTTTACAACCAGCAATGCCTTGAATACGGTGCAAGATGTAAAAATGGTCACGAGATCTATGTTTCCAGTGGAATATCGATTTTGCTTATCTTCAAAAATCAATCTGATGATCAAGAGGATTTTTCTATAAAGGTGCTCAAATTTGTGTCTGCGCTGCGGATGCACCTAATAAAAAAAATATTTTATGATTTACTGTGTTTGTGACTTTAGTGACTCAGTGTTGCTTAGTGCATTCCAAATAGAACTCTCTAGAGTATCAATTTGAATTGGAGTGCCGCTGCTATCCTGCACAAGCTTTGAAAAGTCGATTTACTTAGTTTGGTCCGATTTATACCAGTTGAGCCCGAGTTACATAAGTTAAGGCCAACTTATACAAATTAAGTCCAAATTGCGCAAGCTAAGTTTAACTTGCGTACATTTTTTTACATTCCCGTATACATTTACTTATCAAAAAGCACTGTTTTATTGACGGATTCATACTCGCGATATTGCAACAAATTTGTATATAGTCTTCCCGTACTTTATAAATGTAATAAAATCAGTAGCTTTGCGATCGCACTAATAAACAAACTGTAAAATGCGGCGAATTCCCACATATGTGGGTGGCGAGCAAACGAAATTAAATAAACATAAAATAAATATATTGTGCAATTTTTTTTTTAATTAAATATAAGCGATTTTTTTTGAAAATATTGTTTTCATTAATAAAGATAAAAACCAATATATTCATTTGAAAATATTGATATTTGTGTTTTTATAATAAAATTTCTTATTTTTCCTTCTTCAGTTGCTGCAAAAATTATTTATTGCTAATTCGTATCAATTCTACTTCATGGCGAGGGATTAGATAATTTTCACATAGTAACAAAGCGTAAAATTTTGTACGCCATCGCTAAACTATTCGATGCTCTACGGCGGTTAGCACTAATTGTTATAGCCCCTTAAGTATTAATGCAAAGTATTTAGCTTGAAGGAACTACGTCCACTCTAAATTGTCGGTGAGCGATGAAAGCCTTTACTATTTGAAAAGCATTTGGACCAATTTTCAGGACGCGAGTTGGCTTAGATATAGCCGTTCATGTTCCATTGAACAACTTCAAACATCATTAAAAAAAATGTAGTGAGAAGCAGATGTGAATATATGTATGTATTAAGGTGTATTTAATTTTAATTTGTAGATGAGTTTGGTTTTGTGTAAGTCACATGTCATTGTCTGACGTGACATGAGAGCGAAGGAGACGGTCGTAAAGAGTTTGGGGTTCAGCAGGATGGTAGGGGGATATATCGACCTGAGTATGCTGCTCCGGGGTGAAATTATTGTTGGACTGGTTGGGATATGAATAATTATATGAAATATTAAGTGATGAGGAATAAGACGAGGAGTCATACTCCTGGTTATTTGTTTCTACAAATAAAGTGGGTCGTGTTGCGGAAGAGTGAGGAGTGTTGGTAAGGTCAATAGGAGGGGATAATTGGAAGAGTTGTTTTCCTTATGAGTAAGATTTACAAATGAGGTGGGTTATGTTTCGGTTGGGTGGGGAGAGTTGGTGAAGTCCATAGGAGGGGGATAATTGAAGGTGTTTTCTTTATGAGCATGATTTTCAACTGTTTCTGTTTTTATTATTTTTTGTTGCATCTGAATTTTATACTTTGTTTTTTTTTTTTTTTTTTTTTTTTTTTGTTGGTTGTTGGTAGAGAATCATTTCTGTTAGCACTTTGGTTGGATACTATAGCAGCGTAAGAGCTACTAGGAGAGCTTTGAATGGTTTGTTGATCTTTGTGCATTTTGATAGCTTCGCGCATAGAACATATATTTATTGTTTTTATTTTGAGATTTTCTATTTTCGTAGGACTTTTTTTTTCCGTCTATTTTTTTTTTCCATAACGCAGAAAGGTTATTGAGTGCACTTGGCTGCTGATCTGTTCGATGGCACGGTGTATAGCGATGCAGGAGTAGCATGAAAGGAGTTTTAATGGATCAGTAGTACTAATTACTATTAATTTCCGGTCAACAATTTTAGTTTCAGGGAGGAAAGGGAACGCAGATAAGGGTGCACTTATTTCGAGGCCGGTACCAAGTATTGCGAACCGATTAGCTTCGTGAATTCGTGGCCTACGGCCTATTTTGCACGTTTACTGTAACAACTATGCGTATGTGGTAATCGAGAGAAAAAAAAAAGCTAACGAATATTTTTAGCACACTTAGTGGTGGGGTAAGAAGAAATTAACTAATCAAGGAAACTCCATTAACGAAACAGAAGTCTTATTGGCGCGAGAGTTAGTCGAAGACTGTATGATAATATGAAGCATCGCAAGCCTTAGCGATGCGCAGCTTGCGCATCTATAACTTTATCGATGCGTTTTGGAACATTATACATTGTCAAAGTTTGCAAAGTACCGTTTAGGAACGCGTGACAATGTATTGTTTTGGAACTCATCCTATTTCATTGCGATAACATGGCGCCGTCACAAAAGAGAATCACTTTATTTAGTTTATTTAACATATTAACCAAAAGAAATCACACCGTTTCGTTATTCGAGCATAAACTAGATTTAATTATGTATGTATGTATAATTGGCGTTTTGTAATGGTTGAAGTTATTGTCGGCCGAGGTCCTTCTCAAATTTGTTGTATCCGTCTTGAGATCTTTTCAACAAATAATACAAGTTATTCTAAGCCACCTCGGAACGGCCGATAGATTTATATGAGAACCTTTTTACTTTGTCTAATTTTCCACAATTTTGGAAGTTGGTCGAACCAGGAATCTAACCTTAGCATCAGAATGGCAGCATGTAATACTAACCACTCGGCTATTGCGGCCGCCAATATTCAGCAAGAGCTTTTATTTAATTTGAATGCGAATAACAGTTTTTGTGCATTTTTGTCATTGTAACCTACCATTTCGTTGCTCATTTTTCAGACATTGCTTTCTAGTAAACTAAAGAAGATCAGCTCACATTTCAATGGGCTTTCCCAATAAGAGGTATTATTCAGCCGAGCTCCTTCTCCCATTGGTGTTTTAATGTTTTTCCTACAAATGAATGCAGCTATGGTTTCTTCTAAGTCACCTCCGAACAACTTGCAATAGCAACGTTTAATCAATGGGAAACAATATTTATTTAACAAAATATATGTATATAAGCGAAAATTTAAAATAATAATGCAACAGATATGAGAACTAAATAAATTAGCATTTCGTTCTTCCTCACAGCTATTACGTGAACATTTTTTTTATTCCTTTCGCTTAGCTGGTTGTTAAATAAAATTCGAAGCTATATCATTTGCGCTAGTCGTGAAATAGTTTAACTGACGGTAATAATTATGGCGTATCCACATAAACCCGATCTCCTACATTCGTACGCCCTTCAGCTGCAGTTACAGAGAAACCTAATATGCGTGCGTCCAATTTCGTCATTTTATTTTTCTTAAGCTTCTTATGTTTACCCTAGAAAGATAAATTAAAAATGCAATAATTTGAAATATTTCACTTGCTGCAATATTTTCATAACCTATAGCGGAAGAAATGCTAAGTTCTAACGGGTGATCCAAGTAGAGATACTTTTTTCAATAGCCTTTTCTATTGCCATATTCGACTGAATAAAAGTTCCACGTCCAGAACGCAGGGAAGAAAATAAAGCTACTGTAGCTGAGGGTGTACACGAAGATCACGAAGAGCCAATTCGGCGCCTTCCGCAATAAATCGAACTGACGTATGGAACGACTTGGCGCATTTTACGTTGTTATCTTAAATTCAAAATGCAAGAACTGAATCCGCTCGACCTTCCCAGTGACATCGCTTCGCCCTATTGGTTCTTGAAAAGTTCCAGCCATATTTTGTTCAGCGAAAAGGCTTGGAAGTCGGAACGCTAGAAGGAGTCATCGAAAATTTGACTCAACGGATGAACCATCTGAGACGTAGCCACGGCTAACATTTGAAAGAGATTATCTTCAACAAATAAATGCCAAAAGATGTTCTTTCGAAGGATAATAAATATTCCCTATTGAATTTTAGTCTTCTGGGTTTATTTCTTTAAAAAGTAGGCAACCTCGAAATGGATCACCCTTTAATTCAGTGATAATTTCTAGTATCTTACCTTATTGTCGGTACTATCATTGCCAGAAGGTGTTATGGCAGGTGCCGGTTTACACATATCATCATTATGAGCGTTTTGGGCACGTTGTAAATTTTTATACTTACTTCGACGTTCGAGGAATTGCTTTCCAAAGTCCGTAGACTCTTTATTTTCGCCTGAAATTAATAATAATTTTTTAAAGGGTAGGACAATCAGGAGCATATGCACAAAAATACACAAATATTATTTATATATATAAACCTTCTTACCTAAATACATTCGTATATAATCCTTAACCTCATATGGTGATTCCAAGTCTCGTAAAAATGTTACGAATGTAGGCACTGGAAGAAGAAGTTTGGGTATATTATTCTCATCATTAGGTATATTTTATTTTCTTATTTAATCCATCATTGGATCTTATCTAAGAAGTTTTTTTTAGTTGGCAATACATGAATTTCTTGTGCTACAGTGTTTGACAGGGTACTCCTTCGAAACAGTTTCATCCAATAGGTCCGAGTATCGGCTATTTTTTTCAACAAAAAAAAATCTTCTCGTTTTTTGTCGAAGTTTTTTATGCCACATTTTTTCTTCCACCAACCTCTATTTAATCCTCCATTGGTAGCGCGATGGCGTGAACGTCGTCAGAACTGAAACTTCAGTAAGTGTACCGTTTGTAACGAGGGTTTTTCAAAAGTTACCGATTGATAGACTATAAGTTTCGTCAGATTATTTTTATCGTTCCGAGATTTTTTGAAAAAAAAAAAAAAAAAAAAAAGTTTCGGTAAATAGGTCGGGGACTGATCTATTCGAAAAGTTTATTTATGGCAGGATTTACTTGAAATTCGGTACACAGGTAGTTTTTTGCTTATATTAGCAGGAAGACTATATTTCTTTCCGGGAAGTGAACAAGGGAATGATGTATTAAAAAAAAACAAATTTATTTATGGTTGTTGTTGTTGTTGTTGTAGCGGTTCGCTAACCCCGCTTAGGCAAAGGTTTGTTCAGTCTAAGTCGTTGAGGTCATCTAGTGGTAGGTCCAGGAAACGAGCTGTTTCGACGGGGTTGGACCAAAGGGAGAGGGGGGTTAGATGAGTGGGTTTGAGGGGGCATGTGAAGAGGTGGTTAGTGTCGTGCGGGGACTCTCCACATGCCGGGCATACGTTAGGTATGCTGGGGTCTAGTCTGGATAGGTAGGACTTTAAGTTTAAGGAGAATGCGTGGATGGTGTGTGTTGCTGCTGTACTACCCGCGAGACGGTGCGGGGGACTAGGAGCTGCTGGGTAGCCCTCGCACGGGAGGAGGATGAGGAGCTGGTTGTGGGTGGGGATGGGGGTAGAGGTTGGAGGGAATCATGCTGCGGGGAGCTCCGTAAGACCGTGGAGGTCTGCAGATTACCCAGAGTGGGTATGTGTGCTGAAGGCACTGCCGTGGAGGCTGGGGGGCGGTTGGACGCTGGCACCATGGGGCCGCATAACTCGTGTTCCATTCCCTGTGGGTCTTAAGGCCTGAACAGGTCTTAAGATGACTCCAACCATTGCACTGGGTGCATCTAACCGAGGTGGATGAATGGTGGAGTCTTCTTTGACACACGCAGCAGAAGTAATCCGTCGGTCCAGGGTTGGTTTCTACACCAGTCCTGATCAGAAGGATTTGGAGCAACCCAGCTGCGAGGTGTTGCTCCGTTGGCGAACTTAGACTAAAGTTACCTGCAGACCTAAACGGGGTTAGGTCGCCGAAAGGGTGACAGCCCTTGGCCGGATAAAATCCGGGTCAACTCCGGTGCGTAGAACCGGCTGTCGTGAGAGTCGACTTATTTATGGTCCTACTAGGTGGCCTTTACCTAAGTAAAGATTAGATTAACAGGAAAACTAAATTTTTCTGTGAAAAGTGGACCAGGAATGACCGATTAAAAAAATCTTTTTATGTTTCCATTTACTTGAAATTGAGTAAAAAGGTGGACTGGCCTGTTCAAAAAGCCGAACAATACCAAGTGCACCAATGCAAAAACGGTAAAATCAAAAATGTTATATTCCTACAAGTATTTAATTGCGTAAATATAGACTTGATAGAAAGATAACTGATTTTTAATACATACAATGAGTGTGTGCGTAGGGTACAGTTAATTAGAAACGCTCTCTTCTTGTAAGTGCTTGCTGATCATAATAGTCAAACATGAACATTTGCCGTTACATTTTCATTAAAACGTCACTTATTATTACTTTCCCACTTTGTGCACATGGTGTATAGTCATATATTCATAGCGTTGTGTTGTTTTAGTAATTAATATTACTAATTTTTGTAAGTATTCACCTAAAATTGATTATTTAAAATCAATTAAAATTTTTAACTCAAGATTTGTAATTGGAAAACACAGCATTACGCAAACAAATGGTTTTAATGCTTTAAATTAAATACAGAACTTTGAAACTGTTGCAAGCAAAAAAGGTCCGGAAAACTTCAGCAGGAACAACCCAAAGGACAGCAGTGACCTCGCGAAGAGACCCAAAAAAAAGTTTTTCGGACATTGAACGTGAAATTCAGAAGGAACGTACGTCGTTTGATCGAATGTGGACTTCATGGAAGAGCAGCATGCAAGATATAACTTCTGACCGATATCCAGAAAAAACGACGTGTAGACTTTGCCCATTCTCATTGGCCTTGGACCCAAAACCACTGAAAGTATATGGTTTGTAGCTATGAAACAAAAATAATAGTATTATTCCTGATGGTCGGAGGTATTTTCGACCCCCCATTAACGAAGATTTTAATCCTCGCTATGTTTCACGCAGAGTGAAACATAGTGGAGCATCAATCATGTTAAGGATTGTTTTTCCTGAAATAGTGTTGGTCCTCTCTAAAAGATAAATGGAATTTTAAATAATGTGAGATAGGTTGACAATCTGGGAAATGTCATGTTGCCTATTTATTCCATAATTGTTTTAGAATGACCATCATCCATCCAATCCAGACTAGAACTCTCTGGGTTGATGTTCTTTTGGGGATGTGAGAACGGTTAGGCAAAACAATATCAGTGTCGCGCTGTAGAAATCTTATAACATCAATGAGAAATCGGTGTGAGGCAGTGTTAAAGCAGAAGGGTTATGAAACCAAATACTACCTATAAGTAAACACATTAGCTCAGGATCATTGTTATATTTTCGTTTCTAATTAGGTGTTCACATGTTTTTGTAAAAAAAATAATATCTAAAAATTAATTTTTAATAAATTGCACAAAAAATAAATTTAACACTAACGCAAATACGGGCTTTAAAGGGCAAAAGGATCATTCAATTTAAAATAAACATCGTTTCGTATTAATTGTCAACAGCAGTATATATTTGGCGCTATGTAACCGCTGTAGCAATCTTCGGTCAAGCTCGTCCCCCAATATGTGGTTTTACCTATCGATATCCTTTCCAACAAATGGAGGAATCTACAGTTTTTATAAGGCCGCATCCTATCGTTTGATAGTTTTTTTCTTAGCTTTATTTCACGTCAGAAATGCAGTAGGTGGGCTTAGCATTCCCTACCGAGGGGCAACCGCAATTAGAAATACTAACTTAATTTTTTTATTTAAATTAATTTTCTACAAATTGTTGATGTTGGTCAGACTAGGGTTGTAGTACAATCAGACTGTTATAAACAGAATTAAAAACAACAAAACTCTGCTTAAGAGGTTACACATTCGGATTATTGATTTGCGTATCGGTTTCATTTTCGAAGCAGAATTTGTATTAGTTTTGTGTGATAAACTAATTTATCGGCTTTAGTGCCAGATTTAACCGAGGAGCTAATCGTTGACAGAATTGTGTGCTAACTTCTTTGCAAAATTGAGTTGTGAAACGTTAGTTGCGAAGCGACAATATATTGTCACGCATTCCTAAATGAAATTATGCAAACTTTGACGATGTAGCATGTTCTAAAATGCATCGGTAAAGTTATTGATGCGCTAACAAAAGCAAACAGCGCATAGCTAAGGTTTGTGTATTGTTGCAAGGCAAATTTATAGAATACACGGTTGCATTGTAATGATACGGTTTCGAAACCGCCTATGGATATTGGCCTACAAACATATATACAAAAAAATGTAAAAGTGGAACGCAAATTGCATTTACATCACTCTGACAGCTCCAGCGGATTGCTTGGTCTTTATTTCTTGGCTGGTCTATCCATTATCATAATATATAATATTACGGCTGAAGTCATTTTATTTTGAATTAAAAATCAAATAAGTACTAAGGTACAGTACAGAAATTAAATTAATTTGCTGAATTTTTTGCACAAGTTTACTTTCAGATGATTCTCAAATCGATTTTGCTTAACTTCGATAAAAGCAAAATCAAGTGGGTTTCATAACACCATTTCAAACAGATATTTACTTTCAATAAATAAGCAATTCTATGTCGATTTCTATAACACCCCTGAATACATGTATTTTTCGTTCATTGTATAATCCTTTTCTAATTTTCAAACTTTTTGTTTTTTTTAAACGTTATTTTTTTTTTCCTTTTTTATTTTGATGTTCTATGAAAGTGTGTTTTTGTTTAATTTTTATAACTCTATTCCCTAACTTTTCAGTTCTTTTTATGTAATCCTGGTGATCCAGATAAGGATAATGACACAAATTTATTTAATTATTGTTTTATATCTCACCGGTTTTTTTAAGTTTAAAATTTTTTACTTGAAAGTTCGTTTATAGAGGGTCAAAATCGCGTACAAAGAAGGCGGCAACAAACAGACACACATGTACCAGGATGTGATCCTGACAAGGTTAATCAGATAAATTTATGAAATTATTGAAATACATATTGGGTTGCCCAAAAAGTAATTGCGGATTTTTCATATAGTCGGCGTTGACAAATTTTTTCAACGGCTTGTGACTCTGTAATTGCATTCTTTCTTCTGTCAGTTATCAGCTGTTACTTTTAGCTTGCTTTAGAAAAAAAGTGCGCGAAATTTTGTTTACATTTGTTTGTTTGGCGTCAATTTTAATATGGAGCCCACAAAGGAGCATTTTCGTCATATTTTACTTTATTATTTCCGTAAAGGAAAAAACGCGGAGCAGGTTGCTAAAAAGTTACGAGATGTGTATGGTGATGAAGCCTTAAAAGGAAGACAGTGTCAAAATTGGTTTCGCAAATTCCGTTCTGGAGATTTTTCACTTAAAGATGAGCCACGTTCAGGTCGGCCAAATGAAGTTGATGATGACCAAATCAAAGCATTAATCGAATTGGATCGTCATGTAACTGAGCGTGAGATAGGAGAGAAGTTAAATATACCAAAATCAACCGTTCATTATCACATAAAAAGTCTTGGACTGGTGAAAAAGCTTGATATTTGGGTACCACATGTATTGAAAGAAATTCATTTAACACACCGAATCAACGCTTGTGATATGCACCTTAAACGCAATGAATTCGATCCGTTTTTAAAACGAATCATAACTGGAGATGAAAAATGGATTGTTTACAACAACGTTAGTCGAAAACGATCATGGTCCAAGCATGGTGAACCAGCTCAAACCACTTCAAAGGCTGATATCCACCAAAAGAAGGTTATGCTGTCTGTTTGGTGGGATTGGAAGGGTGTCGTATATTTTGAGCTGCTTCCAAGGAACCAAACGATTAATTCGGATGTTTACTGTCAACAATTGGACAAATTGAATACAGCCATCAAGGAGAAGCGACCAGAATTGGTCAATCGTAAAGGTGTCATATTCCACCAGGACAACGCTAGACCGCACACATCTTTGGTCACTCGCCAAAAACTGAGTGAGTTTGGCTGGGAACTTTTGATGCATCCACCATATAGCCCTGACTTTGCACCATCAGACTACCATTTATTTCGATCTTTGCAGAACTCATTGAATGGTAAAACTTTCGAAAATGACGCGGCTATAAAATCGCACTTGGTTCAGTTTTTTGCAGATAAAGGCCAGAAGTTCTATGAGCGTGGAATACTAGATTTGCCAGGAAGATGGCAAAAGGTTATCGAACAAAATGGCAATTATATATTTGAGTAAAGTTCATTCTAAGTTTTATTAAAAATGCATTTACTTTATTTTAAACAATCTGCAATTACTTTTTGGGCAACCAAATAGTTTTTTTCTTTACTTCGTTTAACGAGAGCAATTTTTAAATTAATACTTACCATCAAGTTTTGTATTCATATTGTTTAGAATTTTTGTACACCAAGCAATAAATTCATTCTCATATTCATCACGTTTAATATTAGATGTAGTAGTACCGCATCGCACGGCGTTTAAATGAATTTTAGATGTACTCTTTTTGTCCGAAGTCGAGCTACCATCGCCATGATTACCAACTACTTTTTGTGGTTGAACTTTATTGCTAAATGCTTGTTTTGCCGTGCTGGTAGACTGTTGCTGATTGTTGTTCTTTATATTTCTACTATTTTGTGACCCAGCGTTTTGCATTACAGGTACAGTTTGACTTTTGCGGATGTTACGTGTCACTGCATTCTGTTGGTTAATATTTTGTTCACCACTACCGGTGATATCTGCGGATTTTTGCAGTCCAGTTGTAGTCTGCTTACTAATGTTATTCTTGTTTAAGCTGACCCCAATTCCTACAGTATTGATTGCTGTGGAATTATTGGCTCCAATAGCAGCGCTAAATTTTATTGGATCCTCCCAGAAACCTGTTGAAGTGGCTGTAGACCAAACTTTTGTTCCAGTCCATATGGCAGAAATATTATTGGCGCTTGAACCAACGTTATTTCCTGGACCCAAAATAGAGGCTGCTTGCTGCTGTTCATGATCTCTGCGACGCTGCATTTCTATCTGTTCATTTGCCAATCGTTTAGCTTCTTCTGCCTGTATTTCGGCAAAACTTTTAACCGGTACTTCTTTTACAGGCGCATTCCATTTTAACATGGAATCAAATGCTTCAACGGCGGCGGCAGCGCTAGCACGAACTCGTTTTACAAACATCTCCATTTGTCGCTGTTCCATTTGACGTTCACGCCTTTCAGCCTTTTGTATTTCTGCTAAGCATGGTCCGCCCTTTGACGCAGCGGCATTCGTTTGAGCAGACCATGGTGCAATTGAAGATTGTACACGTTGGTGCTCTTTAGACTTAGAACTGGAAGACGAAGCTGCTACCGGATCAGTAGTTAAGTTATTTCCCAGCATTGCTTTTCGACGTTGGGTTTGAATTTGTTGCTGTCGCTCTTTTTCTTCTAACATTTGTCGGCGTTTCTCTTCATCCATATGCTGCTGACGCCGCTTTTCTTCATCGGCTTGATGACGTTTTTTCTCTTCTTTTTGACGGCGTTTGTCTTCAACTTGATCTCGACGCCGTTCTTCTACAAATTTTTTGCCACTGGAAAAATCTTCAGATCCCTTTGAGCTCTTATTACCCGTCGTCTGCTGTTTACCTATGCGCTTAGTACTACCATTTTGATATTTTTCAATAATTTCATCTTTGCGATGTTTTGTTAAAATTGCAGCGATTGGTTTTACCACTGTTGGCGAGTTTTGCTGCCGAGTTTGAATGGATATATCGAGCTGATCCTCAGTAGCACCATCCACCGATTTATATGAACCGCTTTGGGTTTCTTTTGCTGATAACTGCTCATTTGGTGAAGCTTGAACTTTCAAAAACCTTTGGTTTTCAAAATCTGACTTGCTGGATTCAGTATCTAGTTGCTTAGCTTCTACAATTTGAATATGATTCAATGATGGCAAATTCCACATAGGTGTTGGTATATTTTTCTGTGGGTGCGGTTGCTGGATATCCTGGGTCATATTATTAACATTCTCAACTTTGTTGCTACTACTCTGAGTAACCGTAATTGGAATTCCCACCAATAAATTATTTGTCCACTCATTAGAAGGCTGTTGTGAATTATTGGATGCCCAAGGATGAACGAGAGAATTTGGAGCTAAGGAATTTCTGGCAACTAATATGTGTGAGTCATTAAGGAAATCTGCATTTGCACCAACAAGAAAGTCTTGGGTCTTTGGATTGGGAATCAATGATGGATTGCAATTAGCAGATGGCAAATACATCCCCATATTAAAATTATTAATCAATTCATTTCCGTTTTTATCATTATTTACAGGGACACTATTATCTCTACCAGTTGGCAAAGCATTTCTAAATGGACCAGTATTATAGATTGTTTGCATGGTTTGTTGAGAATTAATTAGAAAATCTTCATGGTCTAAAAAAGGATTTGATTGTGAATGTTGGTGTGTATTAAGACTGCCGGGATTCCCGGAGCCACTAAATAAATGATTTTTTTTAGGTTCCTCCATAATTACATCATACATCCGGGCTCTTGCTGCCGACTGATTTATCGCGGCCAAAGAATTGCTAAGGCCCGAAAGATTTGGTATATATTCAGAATGCATTTGCAACTTTTGTCTAACAAGAGCTTCTTTTTCTGATGGTGTCAATTGTTGGAAACATTCGTTCTCTATTAATTCGTTATACATTAACATTTCTTGATGACGTAACATTTGAAAATACACATTGGACACATCGACCGGCATAATATTTTTGACAGCTTCTCCAAGGTAATTAACACAATTTATATTGCCTTTAAGTTGATCCCTTTGTTCACCTTGTTGTGGAGACTGTTGCTTTAGAGCATAATCTCCGATTGATTGTGGCTTTTGAGATTGTCGAGCAGAACCACTAGCAGCATTAGGTAAGGGCATATTGTCTAAATTTGGTATTAAATGACTGTGTGTAAAAGGCATATTGTCATTACATAATTTAATCAAATCACCCAACGAACGGAAGTGCATATCACAAGATCGGCGCACAAATAAGTTTTCGTTGAAGTAGCCTGCCCGATACCATTCTGTCATTTCGGTCGCAGAAAAAGGTCCTTGAACCTTAGACTGGGGATCTCGATAATACCAAAGGTCAGCTGGTGCTGCGGAGGAAGTATTTGAATTTATGCTGTGTGATGCATGGCAACCTGTTGTAAGATTTGCCGCCGCTGCTGCTGCAGCTGCAATTTGCTGTTGCTGCATGTGGTGGTGCTGCATAGTAGCATGATCAATCACTACTCCGCCACCATATAATTGTATGCCTTTATGTAAACCATCTTCGGTTAATGTAGTTAAACTTGAAGATACCGAAACCGGACACGGGATGGTCTGATGAGGTGGTTGCTTAAGAATAGCAGAAACAGTTGTAAACACATTCGGTGCACATAAGTTGTTGACCGCGGGAATAGACGTTGCTACTGTTACCTGCACAAGTGGCGGTGTGGTGTTTTGTTGTATTTCATTTTGAGCATTATTATCATTAATGCTAATAGTGTCATCGTCCATAATAAGCTTTTGTATCATATCGTCCGTAACCTCTCGCATGCGATCAGACAAGTCAGGATGTCCACTATCATTGTTACTAGCTGTAGTAGCGGTGTTGGATTTCGATATCGAATCGTTAATGTTGCTTTTGTAATAAGAAGTATTAGCTAATGTATCTGCCTCAGATATGACAATTCTATTACATAAGTCAGGTTTTCTTTCTCCTTGGATTTTTGATAGGCCGTCAGGATTTTCTAGGGCTGCATTCTCCGACACAAGTGTGTCCGTAACAACTGCTGAGTTTTCAATCTTCGAGTCTGACGAAATTTCCTCCGAAAGTTTCATGGCAACTTCAATCTTAGTCACATTGCTGTTACTATTATCATTTTTAAACGATGATCCAGTTTTCCCTGTTGAAGGCTCTGAAGATTTACTTTCCTTAACGTTGTTTCCTTCATTGTTGCGGGCCGAGCTTCCGCTCCTGGAATCAGTTTTTTTTCGACACTGCTTATTGGCTTCCTCATTGTCACCTTCATCCACCGAGCCATGAAAAGCACCGCTTGCATCAAAAGTTCCCCCACCATCCAATGGGTTTTCCATAGCCCATTCCGGCAAGTTTTCTTCTCCATCCACTGCAGATGAACACCCTGGACCACTACTATTATTCCAGTGAGGGTTCCGAGAGGAAACTGCACTCAACCCAGATAAAGAACTGAAAGTTCGGTTGGAATTCTGATTTCCGGTAGGACCATAAGAATTCGGAGGTGGTTTGGCTGAATTGCTACCGCTATTACTGGGAACATAGCCACCCCTTTCGTTTACTGTCATTATGTTAGAATGAGAACGCTGCATTGTTGAGCCGCTGCTATTGACATATCCTACGTCATTGGAATTAGTAGATGACATATCCTCATCACGCCAGCTTGTCGAACGACCTATTAAGCGAATACATAAATATATATACGTATGATTAAACCAATATATTAATAGATATACCCCAACGATGTGTTGCAACAAAACTTCCTCCGGTGGCGCTTCCACCACGCCAACCTTCAGTATTACTTAAGCTACTAGTTGATGCATCACCAGAACCATCTTCATTTCGATTCCGACGCCAGTTTTCCATATTTCGTGGGTGACCAGATATATCCTTTCTTGGGCTAGAGGTCGGTGTGCTATTCCACTCAGAATTTGAACCCCCAATTCCACAAACGTAAGCTCCACCTGGATTAAGTGAATCTCCACCGCCATTGCGCTCCGACCAACCGCGATCAGACTAGCAATACAAAAGTGATGGTTATTAAAATAACATATCAAGACACATGAAATAATTACTTCATTATTCAATTTTATTACCTTCAATGGCACTGACCGTGGGTCATCATCACCGAACACAGCGGTTGGTCGTTGATAAATTTGATGATAGTTAGGCTTACCGCGCATTCGCCCCCGATCCACAGAGCCACCTCTACCAGCGCCCCTAGTAGAGCTACTGAAACCAACTGGCGAGCGCAGTATCCACGATTGCCGCTGCAAAAAAGTAATAATAATGCAGGAATACAAAGGTCAAATTGCATATCATGTCAACTGAAACTAAGCTTGACTCCTACCGGTAGATGATGATAACTAAACTATACCAAGTAAATTTTGTAGAAAAAATAACAAGTTAAGGATACCGGAAAAAATAGATCTAAATATTATTTAAACGGGGAACAAGGCCCAATTATAAAAGAAAGCTTACAGTCGCCAATCAAAATTTTTTCAAATTGAATTTTAAACAACAACAAATAAATAAGATTTATACAATTTTATTACATTAAAAATATATAAAGCAAAAAATTATCTTAAATGGTATACTTATTTAAGCTTTTGTTTAAAAAGCTTCCATCGGGATGAAATCCCCAGATTCGCTAATTGTAGGAAGCAGAAAAAAATACATTAAATGCTTACTGTTGAGACAGGAGACACTTGCGGCAGAAGCTCTTCGTCAGTACTTGGCGTCAGAGCGAGTGGTAATTGCACTTTCTCAATGAAAATCTTCTTAAACGTTGGTAATATTTCAGGCATGTTATAATTTTTGTCGAACAATGAAAGCATTTCTTCACGACCATAACGAAATTCTGGAAATGCATTTCGAGGTGCCAAAGCAAAAGAATAGGGCGTGGTAGCTGTTGATGACACATTAGATGTTATACCAAAAGATCCGCTTCCATTGCCACCGTTATTTGAAAATGAGGTTGTCATTACATTACCGCTATTAGATAACGACGTACCTACACTGGACAACAAATTAGAATTTGTATTATCCGCCGACATGTTACGCAGCCATTCTGGTCCAAATTTCATAGAGTCTGTCATTCTTGCAAAAGTATAAGCTAAATATCGTAACAGGTATATTGGTACAAATTCTAGTAAGCCCGTACACAATTTCACCTGAAAAGAATAGATTTAGGGAATAGTGTTGTATTCAAAACTTTCAATTTAAATTTTATCTGTATTAGGTGATGTTAAGAAAGCTGGAGTACATTTAGCTGTTAGTGTCAACAAAAATTTTTTAGCACGAAATCTTAACAGTGATTTTTCAATACTCAATTTACAATCTTAATCGTGGTAATCAGATACATTTTACTAGAGTAACAAGTTAAGAATTACACTTCTTCATGACAAACGATATCAATAAACAAAAATAACTGTGGACATCAAATGCATTTAAAGGAGAGCAACAATTAAAATATAATAATATAATTTTTCGTAGGAAATTTAATATTCAGAGGCTATGCTTTAATTTTGGCCAGTACTTTACATTCTGTACATATAGTACATAATACTGAAATTCACTTATTGATAAGTATAAAGCAAAAATATAATTCGCATGCCCGATTTCTATGATTGCAGATGTGTTTTTTCGACACGTTTTGGTTTTTCATTCGTACCTGTAGATTTTGACATTCCCTTTTATTTTGTTTTTCTCTTTGAACTGTCATAAATTTCAAAAGAATTAATTCCGTAAGTTTGGAAATAGAAATATGGGTTTTTACTACAATATTTATATGCACATGCAAACATACATATACGAAGCGAAACAACTAAAATAAAAAACTGATTCCATAAAACCATATATAGTATTTCAAAATCATTTTACAACTCTGTCATCCCCTTCAAAATAATCTCATTGGGCAGCTATACAACGGTTTCAGCGCGTTTTCCATGCTTCGTAACATTTCTGGAACACTTCGACTGGGATGTCCACGAGTACTCTCGTCAAGGCCGCCTGGATGTCCTCAATCGACTCAAGAAGAATGAAAAAAAAGTCACAGGGTGACATATCGGGCGAAGAAGAGCACTATTACTACGCACTTTTAGAATTCTAGCTTACGTTTCCGAAGCCGTTTCGCTCAATTTGGAGTAAAATTTTATCGGGACGCGTTGCTCTTGATTTTGTTTTTCCTTTTTCGTGACGAGCAGGCGAACTAAACAAACTAGAACGATGGCAAATATATCAATGGTGAGGAGAAGGAATCCGGGAGAAGGAAAAGGAAATTTCATGGTCACAGGTTTACCACAATCGCGACAATATAATCAGTCTCATTACTTAATTTGTCTCCCTATGTATCTAATTATTACTTTTATAGATAATGGAGTTTGTAGAAAAAGGTATTAGAATGGATTGAAGCATTTGGGATTAACTCTGATGATAGTGAAAATAATGAGATATGTGAAGATTCGTAGTTAGATTACTTTCAAGGATAGAGTTGATGTTTAATCGAATGTAAAAAATTATATAAGAAATAGATAAACATAAGTTGTGCCTTCCTTTGCACAAACATAGTATCTTTTAATTTTAGAAATATTAAAAAAGCGTGAGGCGAAAAAAAAATTGTGAGTGTCAAATGAAGGGAAATAGAGACAGAAAAAATGAAAAATCAAATGTCAAAAATTTTGCTTGAACAAAGTATCTCTGTGTGAACGTGAAGGGCGACACAAAGAGGAATATTACGAAAATAAGCGACAAATGTATCCTTATGAAAACTCACTGGACGCTAGCAGCATGGGGTCACATAACTCGTTGTCCACTCCCTGTGAGTCTTAAGGCCTGAGCAGGTCGTAAGGTGACTCCAACCATTGCAATGGTGGAGGAGTGGTGAGCCTTTTGTGACACACGCAGTAGAAATAGTCCGTCGGACCAGGGTTGGCTTCGACACCAGCCCTGATAAGGATTTGAAGCAACCCAGCTGCAAGAATTCTTTTGTTCAAATTTATTCTAATATATTTTAACTTCATTCTCCAAATTATAATTATTAATATTATTGTAAGTAGGAGAAAAAAATTACATCCATATATTACTTTGTTATGGGTTTTTAAATTACTTTAAAAATTTAATTTTTTTTCATCTAATTGTTTGAACGTAAGTTCTTTAGTAAAATTCTTCATATCGTTGTAACACAAACTCATGATATTTCCTTCAAATTTTTCAACTAAACTAGAATAATTATAAACATAAATTTTTATTGAACAATTGTTAAACTGAATTACATAATTACCATTTAAAATAGTATTATTATTATCATTACATGTATTGTTAATAAATAAGTTGGTTGCGCTCTTAACCAAAATTGGTCCAACGCTATAAGTTCTAATTCTCTGTTTGTTATTAGTTTACAATTTTTTGTTGTTGTATTGAAGCGGTTCGCTAACCCCGCTTAGGTACAGGTTTGATCGGTCTAAATCGCCGAGGTCATCTTATGGGAGGTCCAGGAAACGAGCTGTTTCAACGGAGTTGGACCAAAGAGAGGGGGGGGGGGTTAGATGAGTTGGTTTGAGAGGGCATGTGAAGAGGCGGTTACTGTCGTGCGGAGACTCTCCACATGCAGGGCATACGTTGGGTATGCTGGGGTCTAGTCTGGATAAATAGGAGTTTAATCTACTACAATATCCAAACCTGAGTTGTATCATAACCCACCTCTGCAACCCCGGTGCTTAGTGATGTTGTGGTGCTGTGCACTTTTCGGAAGCCATGCTGATGTGCTGCTGGACGCGGATGGTGAGTGAAGGTCGGGAGCAACAAGGCCTCAAGTGTCTTGGCTACTGGGAAAAGGAGAGTTAACGGCCGATAAGACTCTCATTGGCTGGTGAGCTGGTTACCCCGGCTTGAGTAGCGGGAGCACTCTGCCCGTTTTCCACACGCATTATTAGGGTGGTCAAAGACAAATTGAGGATCTTGGGAGAAATTCTGCTCTCCTTGGTACGAGGTAAGGAATTTTGTAAAGAATTTCGACATGAAGCTTCGTAGGAATGATGAGAGAGAACATTTTTTTTTCTTTATAAAATTTGAACTTTTGGAATTTAAATATATTAAAGTTTATGGTTAATAGTTGTTAACTTTATCCCATCAATTTTTTATGAAATGTTCACTATTCTTTTATTTTTTATTTTCAATTACTTTGTTAAAGTTTATCGCAATGAAACTTAAATAAACATTGAGAAATTATATTATGATAAAAACAAATGTTCACTTAAATTCGACTGCAAACTAATCTGGATGGTGTTGCCCGTACAGGTAAAATATTATGTAAATTGAATAATATTCAACAATAAATATGGAAGGTGTTTCCGTATCATGTAAAATATTACATGAATTAAAGAATATTCACCAATAAGCATGAAAGCAAAACAAAACAAAAATTTACAGCTAGTTTTTTCCAATTATTTGAATGCTGTTATTTTTTTTCATTCGCGGTAAGTGAAAGTGTATTTTAAAGTTTTATAATTTGTTAATGAAATACATTGATTTACAAACTCTTTCCTTCAGCAGTGGTGTGCGTCCTACTGAACTCCTGACAGCAGCAGAGTTTGAAAAAATGTGGAATAACGTACGTGTGTATTTAGAGCTGGGAAAAAGAGTACAATGTGTTCATTTTTCTGAGGAAAACCGACTGATTCTGAAGACCAAATTGTGCCCAGTTCGGCAAAATTGGTGGTCCGCGGTAAATCGTCCAAATCGACGAATCAAAGTTCGGAAAACGAAAGTTTAAGTGAAAGTTTATAGAATACCATATTAATTATGAGTCTCTTACTTTATAGGGAGGAAAGTTGATGGTCATTGGGTTCTTGGCATAGTTGACAATGGCAGCTGGGATGTACGCCTAGAAGTTTGACTAGTGAACGTTCGGTCTGCAGAGAAGCTCATACCACTAATCCGTAAGCATGCCGTTGAGGGTACAATAATCTGTACAGATTGTTGGAAAGCCTACATCTGCTGGAGGGATTATGGGTAAGAGCACCGAAAAGTCAATCACTGCTAACCGGACAATCCATTTTAGCGCTGGATGGGGCCCTCAGGCAGGGGATTGATTCGCAAAGGCTTATATTAAGAAGATATTTTATCAATGGTAATTACAATAACCACGCCAATTTTTCGGAACTTGTAGTTCATTATTTGTGGCGTGAGAATATAAGTAGGCATCATGAGCCATAAATACCAATTGTTTTATTTTTACGTCAGGATATTTTCAAAGGTATTTCACTTAAAAATACAGTACAAGGTGAAGCAGGTCCGGCTCAGTGCTACAAACCAAAGCGCGGCCAAAGGCCGCCAACTTACAAGGGAGTTTCACAAGGGATACTGCGCAAGACGAAGCCGCTGTTGGTTCGGTCCATTACAGATTACAATCCAAAACGCGGCCAAAGATCGGCAACTTACAAAGAAGTTTCACTTGACTTAGAATTTTTAAGAGAATAACATTTTATTTGTTCAACAAATATTTTATTTTTCTGCATATCTATTCGTAACTCAATCATTTTTTAGTGATGTCTTTCTGTAAATTAATCTAAAAACTAATAACAATATAAATTCCATAAATTAAGCTAAACATTAATAACAATATAGAAAACAAAATAAAATCAGAATTTCGCATAAAAGATTTGAGAAAATAAGAGTTTTACTAAAAATTCTGTTAAATTGCGAGGCCGGTGTTGCTCTGGCAGGGGGTTACAATCCAAAGTGCGGCCTAAGGCCGTCAACTTACAAAGAACTTTCACTTCAGAATACTGTGCAAGGGGATTCGGTGTTGTTCCTGCCCAGGGTTACAATTTACAACGACATTGCACTTAATATTATTGTGCAAGGTGAAGCAACATTCCTTTTCTTATTTCGATTTTCTGCATATTGTTGCGAAAATGCGAGGCGAATGTCAGATGAAAGAGAGAAGCCGATAACTAGTACATTCTAGAAACGATAAAACAAGAACCTTCCATAGCGAAAAATTCGATGCTTCTACGCTTTCGTCTGCTATATAAAGGCGACACTCAGCTGCAAGTCAAGATAGTTTAAAAGTGAGCTCGTTGGCGTTAACATCGGTAAAGTCGTGAAGTAAACGCGTTGGGAATTACATTTAAGTAGAGTAAATGGTGAAAGTTTATGCAAGTGATTGTAGCTAGTAAAGTGACTTGTAATTGAATTGTGAATTACTGAGTAAATAAAGGACATTAGATAAAATCTTTATAACGAAAGAAACTGCAAATTAAGTTGGCGAGTTTTATTTAACAATCCAGAGATCGTACCCGAAGGATTCAGAAAATAATCGAGGTTGATTTAGTAAAATCGTAACAATATTTATCGTTAATTTGAAGGTTATTTGGAGTGGCAACGCCTGGGTTATTAAAATCATCATTATCAACATTTAAAGTTAGTTTTTATATACAGGGATCCTGCTTGTATTTTACTTATAAAAACACTAACAACACTTGGCTCGAGAAGAGTTGGGGGAAACTTTATTGTGGAGCCTGTGTTTTTTTTTTTTTGAAAAATGTTCAGAATTGGTAGTATGAGGTTTCCAGTTACTAAAAATATAAATTGTTTTCGAGCATAAATTTAAAGTTTAAAAGTTATAAACATTTAAAGTTATACTTTTTAAATGCAGAGATATTGCTTCTGTTTTAATAATAAACACACTAACAGCCCTTTCATAGGTAAGCGATGCCTAAATGTTGATTACTTTCAAACTGTAAATTTGCGAGCGTTTAAATTTATATTTTTGGTTTTTGTAGACCTCTTACTACCAGCACTGGCGATTTCATAAAAATAAACCAAAGGCTCCACACTAAAGTTTTCACCACGCCTCTCCAGCCAAGTGTTTTCAAATATATATATTGTTTTTATAACTAAAATACAAGCAGGATCCCTGTATATAAAAAGTGTATCTTTAAATGTTGAAAACAAAACTGTAAATTTGCGCGCGAAAATATATTTTTAGAAATTGTAGATCTCCTACTACCAACCCTGACCGTTTTATGAAGATAAATAATAGGCTCGTACGTTTTCCCGTGGAATTTTTAAAGAACTAGAACTAGAGAAAAGAAAAGTAATTTAGAACCTAGGCTTTTTCCTCCTTCCATCCATACAAAATTTATTTACGAAAGCCTACGGCTGAAAAGTAAAATTTCCCCCTTCTTTAAATGATTATGTGATAAAATGGTAGTTTACAGCCGCACGCTCTCGTAAAAAAATTTGGCATGGATGGAAAGAGGAAAATGCCTAGATTCCAAAACTTTACCAAGATCTATATTATTTTCTTTTTTTAAGAAATATAAATCCAGGATGATCCCGTTTTAGAACTTACGAGTATATAACTTCCCGTCGTTTTTGTAAAAGGCCTAGTTTACTCGTCCTATATCTCATATTCAACTCACCTTCTTCATTCCAAATGTTTTTAATTCTTGTATTTCACGTCTACAAGTAGCTGACACAATTAATTCAATTGCGCTTCTCTAACAACAATACATACTTGCATTACCCAGTTAAAGCACAAAAAGAGCGATTTGCAAAGTAAAATTTATCACTTCACTTGTTCAACTCATTCGTAATCCACCTCGTTGAAATACAATTGCCAACGTCAGAATAATATCAAATTTTGTACAATTTGTTTTAAAATAACATATTACGGAATATATATACCTATATATTATTTAATACTTTCCAAACCGGTTTGACAGATTTTCTCTTTCCAAACTATAAATATATATGGGCTACATCTCACCAAAACTGCCTTTCATTTATTTAACATGAAATAATAATTATGAGAAACAAATTATCTTAAAGCCATCACAAGCAAAAACAACTTTAAAAAATATAAATTGCAGTCACTTTTACTATAGCTTAAAACATATTACAGAACCACAAAATATATTTGAAAATATCTTAAATGAATATATAAATATTAGCATACTTTTCGAAAGTCAGGGAGTTTTCACGTTCTAAGTTTTTTGATGTAATAAATCGCGCAACGACGTGTAGTCTGTATGTTATACGAACGAACGAACGAATGTATAAACGAAATGGCCGAGGCGTATTTTTCAAAATCAGGGCTGTGATATAATTATAATGAACTGACGACATCGCAATGCCGAGGTTACACACCGCAACTCTTTATCTTTCTCAACGGCAAAAAATGAGCTTGTCACTAATATATGTAAATATATCTACCTCCGTACCGAGCCAATTATTTAAGCCAACATTTGACAGAACGTGTGTTTTCACATGCGGCCAACACAAAGAACCAATTTTTACTTCCTTAAGGTCAATATGACAAAGCTGAGACCTAACTGTGTGTGACATTCTCTTCCATTGCTTGTTGATTTTGGTTATTGTTGTCGGACAAACAGATCGCGTCTGAGTCGCAGCTGCCGTAAAAGCCGAAAACATATGAGCATTGAAGCCAACTAAAATCAGCTTTAAAATGAAATTATTAAATTAATTAATTAAAATTTCTCCACATTTTGTAGCTGACGTGCCAAATACGAAAGACAGATGAAAAGCAGATGCAGATAACTATTGTTCAATCGAGATCGCGAGTATTATATTTTCTGTAAAACGCAAGAGCTTATCAGACAAAAATAGAGTTCAGCATGAGCACAATCGAATGAAAACACAGGAGAGCGAAAAAGGAAAGTTAGTTAAGATAAAAAGTGATCTCGTTCATGAAAAAATTGGCAAAAAGCTAACATAATAGAGCGTGAAAGTTATAAAATAAGTAGTTGTATATTGTAAAGTAAACTGTGCCTTATTGAAGAAAAAATAATCGTGGTTTGAGTTCTTCACATTTAAAAAGTTGTACCACATATGGGTAAATTTTAAATAACAATCATGTGTTGAAGTCAAAGAAATTGGGAGATCATCGAGGCTTTCAGAGAAGTGTGGTGGAATGGAAAATGGTGAACCGGGATAGGAATTACAGTTTAAATAATAAAATATATGTGAAAAGCCGTTAGGCGAATTCGATATACATAGTTTGTTTAAATATTTAAAAAAATGATAGCCGAAAACCAGCGAAGATTGAGCGCCACGGGCGGCGCTCCATACCACTTCCCAGCATTGACAGAAATGGAGAAATCAATTGACCACATACTTTTGATGTCAAAGGCCGCTGCCACAAGTGGGCTGATACTGGGAATGGTCACACCTACAATATAACCAACAATGACAGCATTATCACCCACTACGACACCGCCAGTATTAAGCCAATCATAATCAACAATAACAGCTCCCTTACTAACAGAAACACCGATAGTACACAGCACCATTATAAATTCACCACCAAGACCTCTTTTGCAAGATGCAACCGCCAAGTCAGCGATAGATCAGACTGAAGCAAATGAAATTCAAGCTGAGTCTTCGAAAAAATTTGCTGATGCTGCAGTAATACAGGCTGAGGCAGCAAGATCCATTGTGGAAAGCTTACGCGGAATTACTGCAATTACATCAAGACAGGTTGAGAATTTAATTGAAATTTTAAAAACAAATAAGACTATTAACAAATAATAAAATTTGTTTGAACGGTAGTTTTGCTTTTTCCCTTGTTTAAAATTTAAAAAATCAAATTGTGTTTATGGCAAATTTTCTGCAATTTCCAATCTTATATTTGCTGCAATTGAGTGTGACTCTTCAATTTCTGTTTCACTTACTACATCTTGTTGTTGTTGTTGTTTTTGTAACCGCAAAATTATTCCCCAAAGTACTTTTTGGGGAATATTGCGGGTCGTTCCGGTATAAAGACCCGACTGTCGCGGAAACTATTGGATTTTAGTCGCCTCTTACGACAGGCATGCCTTACCGCGCGTAAATTCTTGAGCCCCTAACCCGCAGGGTTAACTTGCTACATCTTCATTCAGTTGAATGAAAGGCAACTGGTCATTAAAAGAAATACACATTACGCAATTCGCAACACGCATTTATAACTTTTGAAGCTTTTTCGGTGGAATATTGGAGTCCCCGTGAGCTTATTATGCACCGGAACTTATTTTTCAAAACGCCGAAACAGCGTCCAATGATATTCCTTGCTTTTGCATGTCTGTCACTAAAGCGTCTCTGGATTTCGTCACCGGGCAAACGGAACGGTGTCATCAAATATGGCTCCAGTGGGTATCCAGAGTCACCTGTTGAGAAACATATAATTTGTTTAAATTTTTAGTCATTTGTAATGCAAATTTCACACCAAGTAGCCATGTATTGATTTTGCCATTATTAAAATCTGAATTAAGCATTTGTTCTGCTGTACTGTGCTTCCATATAAAAGCATCGTGGTTGGCGCCAGGATGTCTCGCGTCAACGTAAGTAATGACCATGTTGTGATCACAAATCTGTCAATAACAAAGAAGAAAAGAAGATATTGTTGCGAAAATGCGAAGCGAATGTCAGATGAAAGAGAGAATCCGATAACTAGTACATTCTAGAAACGATAAAACAAGAACCTTCCATAGCGAACAATTCGATGATTCTACGCTTTCGTCTGCGAGCAGCCGACTGCTATATAAAGGCGACACTCAGCTGCATGTCAAGTTAGTGACAAAGTGAACTGGTTGGCGTTAACATCAGTAAAGTCGTAAAGTAAACGCGTTGAAGATTACATTTAAGTAGAGTAAATTGTGAAAGTTGATGCAATTGTAGCTAGTAAAGTGTCTTGTAATTGAATTGTGAATCACTGAGTAAATAAAGGACATTAGATAGAATCTTTATAACGAAAGAAACTGCAAATTAAGTTGGTGAGTTTTATTTAACAATCCAGAGATCTTACCCGAAAGATTCAGGAAATCATCGAGGTTGATTTAGTAAAATCGTAACAATTGGTGTCAGAAGTGGGATTGTTAAATAAATCCCAAAGGATAATATTTGCAGAATGGTGAAGATTCAAGACTTAACGATACCTCCTCTCAAGAGGGAGTTGGCAAAGCGAGGATTGTTGACTACTGGAAATAAGGTAGAGCTGCAATCGATACTGCGAGAAGCAATGGAAGATGAAGGCATCGACTTAAACCAGTACGAGTTCCATCGCGAGGATGAAGAGGTATCCCTGAAGGACATTGACAAGGAAGAGGCTGATGGTTCTGTGAAGGAGTTGGAATCAACATCAAGTCAGATTCAAGAAAAGGTTCCTGGCTCATCTAATGGTATTGACATGAACCTGTTATTGACTGCAATCTCGAGCATCTCACAAAAGTTCGATGCACAGGACACAAAAATGAACGCCAGCATCGCCAGCATCTCACAAAAGATGGATGTACAAATGCTTGAACAGAGAGAGCAGATATCATCCTTGGAAGGAACAATAGTTCAAATACAGCAAAATCTGGCGAGGAACAATGCGGAACTTAAGGAAAGGCAGGATCTAATTGAGACCAAAGCTAACGCATTGGAAAGTCGTTTCCGGGAATTGCAGCTAAATCGTCCAACCGCTTCAGTGAACGCTCCGAAAGTGNTTGTAGCTAGTAAAGTGTCTTGTAATTGAATTGTGAATCACTGAGTAAATAAAGGACATTAGATAGAATCTTTATAACGAAAGAAACTGCAAATTAATTTGGTGAGTTTTATTTAACAATCCAGAGATCGTACCCGAAGGATTCAGGAAATCATCGAGGTTGATTTAGTAAAATCGTAACAATATGTTATAAGTCGAATAATTGCTGTTCTTAGTTAAATATGTATGTGGAAACTACCCAACGCAATTACATATGAATGTACTTATGTATATACAATACTTACTGCCATAACATTTATACTATAAAATCCATTCCGGTTATGGTATAAACGCCTGCAGTAGAAACCGGGCGATTTAATTCGGACATGTGTACATCCTATGACACCCGGTAAGCCAAACTTGGTGAAGAAGTGTTCTTTGACGCTGCTTTCTTCTTCATGAGTTCTTGCAAAGCGCACCCATTTGTTGCAAAATTTGCTTTCGAAAATATCCAAGCATTCCGAGATTACTTTCGCTACTGTTGATTGGCTCATCGCTGAAATATTTTCATTTCCAACTGATTTCTGATAGCTTCCGGTGGCAAGAAACCTGAGAAAAGTAGTAAACTTCAATTTGGGTGGCAGGTGAGTATTTCGGAATGTATGCTTCAAAAGAATTTTTTTTCTTGGAAAGGTAAGAAAACACTTCTTTGCGTATTCAAAAGTTCGTCACAAACCTACGTATGTGTATATTAAAAAAGTAAACCCATTTCTCTGGAATAAATTCACAAAATAATTACTGACTCAGCCTCCGGCAGTTCCAGGACATTTGTTGCATCCCTTACATTTCGTCTTTGGATGCTCAATTCTATCTGAATCTTCATTTAATAAATATACAATTGCTGAAAACATTTTGATTTTGTATATATATTTTTTGAAACAAGGTTTTGTAAACAAGCAAATACAAATGTCAACGAACGAGAATGAGCAAATGAGCATGTGCTAGATTTTTAAGTTGTAACTTTAAAAAGATAGAAATTAGAAAAAAAACAGTGTTTTTATTTTAAATATTATATAAATGACATATGGCAGCATCTTATTTGACAAATGATTCCTTCTCGTATATCTTTGTTACGTAGGCAACGTAAGCAGAGAACGTAAATATATATTTACGTTCTCTGCCGTAAGGGTTGATGAACAATATAGGGAATGTCAATGCTGAACGAAATCGTCCGGAGACGATCCGTTCGTCAGACCTTTCGTTCGCATTACATAATAAGGCTGTTAATTAGCAAAAATGGTTACAATAGGTCTGAAAAGTGGGATTGTTACAAAAAATCCAGGAGAAGAATAAGAATTTAAAAAATTTAAAGAATTTGTCGCTTGCGCTAACGATTATGCGATTACTTAACTCGGTTATTATGATAATCAACACAGCACATATCCATTTTATTAAAATGAAGGAAAGGTGGCACCACAGCTTTAAAAAAGTGTCAAAGTATGCGAAAAGCAAAAAGAGCAATTATTTTTATTAAATAAATAGCAAAGCAAACCAAAAACATGTTATGACTTGGATTTTTATGCATAACTATCTGATCTGAAGGGAGCTCCAAATAAAATAATCGAGTCGCGCTCGTGGGTACTTAACATTTACCTCCAGAATCTAGAGATAAGGATCACATATCTATGGACGTTATATAAAGAATTCGTTACAACAGTAGTAATTGAAAAAAAATTTACTTTCACCGTTTGCACGTTGGTAGAATGGTATCCATGAAGGTTGACATAGGCTTCTTCGCAATCAAGAGCCCCAATTGTGTCTCCAACAAATGGTAGCGTAATGGAAAATCTAACCTTCGTAGCTTATGATAATAGCGATAGCGAATATCATTAAAATAAGTACACCGTATATTAAAATCGGTAGAATTATCTCTTAGTCTTATTTGCGATTCTAGAGGAGAGGAAATATCTTAAAAATTATCGCTAAGTCTAATTTGCGTATACCACGCTTAGAGAAAAGCAAATATCGTTAAAATTATCGCTAAGTATTATCAGAGAACGTATATTAAAAAGAAGGTCCGGGGCATGCCGATTTCTATTTGTTCTACCTATGGGATTACTAAGAGACTATTTTGCCTCAATACGATATGAGTAAGAGACTATTTCACCGCTAGTTAACAGCAAACTACCAGAGACCAAATGGAACTTAATGATAGCAATCAAAAGCCAATAGAGTCCCAGAAGGAATTTACTTCCGGAATAGAGAGATTAGTTTATATGGCCATTGGAATACTTATCTGGTGAGCACCTTAATAAAATAATATAATTGGTGCTTTGTAACCGCTGAAGCGATTTTCCTCGTCCTCCTTCAATTTGTGGTTATGCTTCTTGATATCTTTTTTCAAACAAATGGAGGGACCTACCGTTTATACTAAGCCGCCTCTGAACGGTTGATGGTTTTTTTATGAGGAGCTTTATTTCATGTCCGGAATACACTCGGAGGGCTTGACATTCCCTGCCGAGCGCCGATCGCAAATAGAAAATTTAACTTAATTTTTTATATTAAATCAATTTTGAATAACTTTTAGATGTTGGTCGCATGGGAACTTGAACCAGAGCCTTCCGATTGGTAGTACGCACCCATCTTGGGAAAGTAAAAATCGAGAGTTTCCTCCACGGCGTAAGAGGTATATACACAAAGCGGAAGATATATGCGAATACAAACTCCACGTTTGCAGAAACTGTCGAATATCCCCGGACACGTAAGACGGCAGTACTCCTGCGTAGATATGCTCAAGAAGAAATGATACAGCGTTGAGACCGCTATAAACACAAGTATCGTGAAGTGCTACCCTTCTGGTAAGTCAGGTTACATCGTACGCGATTATAAGATGGCCAAAAGACAGGAATAGCGGCTGAAAAAGATAAGCTATCATATCCTCAGTCGTTATACGAGAATGAGCCAGCTGAAAGCGGCGTGGGCAGTTAAATGCTCCATTATCTCTGTCCCGCTAATAGGTAGGAGCGTGACCAATGTTGTGTGAAGACCCCAAGTCCAAGGCCTTGGAGCCTCCACAGCAACAACAACAAAAGAGAAGTTATATAAATATATATATATATATACATAATTACGAACATATATATACATATAACATGAAATACATATGTATATACGCAATGCAAAGAAATAATTACATATATATATATATATATAAATATATATATTGTTGCGAAAATGCGAGGCAAATGTCTTTATAACGAAAGAAACTGCAAATTAAGTTGGCGATATTTTATTTAACAATACAGAGATCGTACCCGAAGGATTCAGAAAATAATCGAGGTTGATTTAGCAAAATCGTAACAATTGGTGTCAGAAGTGGGATTGTTAAATAAATCCCAAAGTATAATATTTGCAAAACGGTAGAGATACAGGATTTGACGATACCTCCTCTCAAGAGGGAGTTAGCAAAGCGAGGATTATCGACAACTGGAAATAAGGCAGAGCTGCAATCGATACTGCGAGAAGCAATGGAAGTTGAAGGCATCGACTTGAACCAGTAGGAGTTCCATCGCGAGGCCGAAGATGTATCCTTGAAGGACATTGACAAGGAAGAGGCTGATGGTCCTGTGAAGGAGTTGGAATCACCATCAAGTAAGATTCAAGAAAAGGGTCCTGGCTCATCTAAGGGTATTGACATGAACATGCTATTGACTGCGATCTCACAAAATATGTCTGAAATGAACGCCAGCATCGCACAGAATATGTCTGAAATGAGAGCCAGCATCTCGCAAAAGATGGATGCGCAGAATGCCAACATTACATCACAAATGGTTGAGTAGAGGGAGCAGATATCATCCTTGGAAGGAACAATAGCGCAAATACAGCAAAATCTGGGGAAGAAC